GAGAGAGAGAGAGAGAGATTCAAATATTTGGCGTATAGATCATATCTAACTTTTGTAATTAATTATCATCATGTTACATAATAATAAAGGATTGCATTATAAAGTTAAAGCTTTCAGTGTTCAATATTCAATATTCAATATAACGTTGTCAAATTCTGCAACAACTTTGTAGAAGCCATAGTCTTGCAATTACCCTATTTTATACGGTTCTTAGGCGTAACAGCTATATTATATGTGCATATAGTTAACCGTAATTAATTACCATTTAACATGATATTAATTGTAACTTAGTATGAATCCATGCAAGAGCTAAGTTAGGAAATAATTCTGCCTCCAACAACGTTAAGCAATGAAGGTCATGTGGCTGAAGTAATGTCCCATATGAGTGCCCCAAGCGTTATTCTCTTGAGAAGAATTGCCCATACGAGCGTCCCAAATGGTGCCATAATTCTCGTTGTAAAATGCAGGTCATAATTTACGACGAAAATCTAGGCGCCGCATAATAACTATTGGATTATTACTACACAACGATTGCCGAATTGCACGCACTCGTGCACATCGTTAAATCAAACTTCGTATAATTTAGTCACATTGATACACGATCTGCATGCACGAGCTCGTATCAATCTTTCAAATGCGTTTATATAAGAGCCTACAGCCTCCACTAACAACATTATTCGATAAAAGTTTGGAATTACTACCACACACAGTATTGAATTATGTATATGCACTTGCTTTTTATGGCATGCTTTCACAAATTAAATATTTTTGAATATAACATACTGCAATATAATTGTTTTATTGATTTTATAAGAAATGAGGTAATTTGTTAAATTTTATCATATTTCTTTAAACAATATTTTATATATTATTTTCGGAATTTATAATATATTACTGTACTTTTCAATAATCCAAGTTACGAATATGTCAATCATTTTCAATATTTCATTAATTTTTGTCAGATTTGATTGAATATATGGATACAAAATGGCTACGCAATGAGAAATAAAATTATTTTAACACAGTAATTAACACTTTGTTCTTGCTAATAATTATTTCTTAAATCCTAATTTTCTTTGTAGAACGACGTAGTGGCTGTGGCATTAGAAGTTCTATTAAATAAACATGAAATACCTCTTCCAACGACGACAACATCGTCTTTGTAAGTATATTTATTAAAAACATATTCTGTTATACTGCAGGTAGATATTATTTTATGTAAAAAATGAAATATGAAATATTTTATCACAATTTTCAATATTGTGAATTAACTTTTTCATTATTAAACATTTAATTAAAAAATTTTTGGATGTACTAATAAATATAGTCATGCTTCTATGTTATATTTTTAACTGAATAAAGTATAAAGTATAAACATGGTACGATCTCCCAAGAGATTATATAAAATTATCAAAGAAATCCATTAAGTTTATTGAGCAAGAAAATCTGAATACTGCATAATAATTAGAAAAGTAATTTTTTTAATGCAGTAATATTTTTAATTTATAAATCAACATGAAAGTGGTTATATTATGTATAATTTATTTAATTTGAGTCTGATTAAATTAAATGAGAGAGAAAGAATTTATATGTGAGTACTATTATATGAGCAAAAACGTTTGTAATTGTTAATGTAATTGTTAATCCATTATTTTTATAAAAATTTTGTATTTGGAAAAAGCATTTAAATTTTAATTAGCAACAATTATTAACAAAGCACAAAATAACATTCACGAAAATTCTCACGCTTAAATTATAATTAAATATATGATTTTTAATAATAAAGTATCTGATTTTATATTGCAGAGAAAAACTTCTAAGTAATGTTGAAGAGGAGGAAAATTATAACCTACTAGAAGACATTTATGAGACATTAAATTACGATTGTGGTGAGATGAATTTATTTTTATAATTAAGTAATAATAGAGAGGATTAAACAAATAATTATACAAACTCATTATATACTGCATAAACAAAGAAGACTATTTGACATCACAATGTTGAATAAATTTTTAAATCGTGCTCATTTATTCGTTTCCATGATGACAGTGAGCTGTTATTTATTAGTTATTTCATAATATAATGGAGAAATATAACATAACATAACGGGATTTTTAAGAACAAACAAATTGTAGTCGTACGACGCTATTTGCATTCATTAAAGTAAATTGTTCATTCGTGTTTTTTCACGCTTTCTACCGGCTTGATCTACCGGCTTTAAACGTTGAGATTATCATAAATCTATCAGAATCAAATTATGAAAACTTATCACGTCGACAAGTTGTTTGCTTGGGTAAAAGTTCAAAACGTTAGTTCCAAGATTAGCATTTGTCAGAATCGGTACAGAAATTGTACGGAGAATGACTCTTATGATAATGAAAGTGTTTAATATATTTTATTCAAAAACAATTTTTTTTTAATATAATTTATAACACAGATGGAATTGCATAATTAATTTCACATGATTGAAAAAACTGTCAAGAAAAGGATATGAAATTTTAAAAAGTTTTTCTTCGAACAATTTTGAATTAACAGGTTTTTAGTCATTTTCTTTGAAAGAGTGGAAACTAATTATTTTTTGCCAGTTTCAAACGTTACTTTTAAGCGATTATGCATTATTTGTTTGCATTTTTCGCTATTATTTCTTAAGCACCATTGTCTGCTTTGGTTTTGCCCCGCAGCTGATAACATGAGAATCCGTTAATACAGGCTTGA